AATTTATTTATTTTTTTTTAGACAGAGTCTTATTCTGTTGCCCAGGCTGGAGTACAGTGGTACGATCTTGACTCACTGCAACCTCCACCTTCTGGGTTCAAGCAATTTTTCTACTTCAGCTTCCCAAGTAGTTGGGACTACAGGCATATGCCACCATGCCCAGCTAATTTTTGCATTTTTAGTAGAGATAGTTTCACCATGTTGGCCAGGCTGGTCTTGAACTCCTGCCTTAAATGATCCACCTGCATTAGCCTCCAAAAGTGCTGGGATTACAGGCGTGAGCTACCATGCCCGGTTAGCCTTTTCTTGAGTACAGCAGCCAGACTGAACTCCAGCTTTGCAGTGTTTAAAAGCATAAGTCAGATCCTGTTGCTCCCCTACTCAGAACCTTCCTGAGGTTTCCTGTCTCACCCAGAGTTGTCATTGTGGGCATCAGCATTGTGTTTGGAGATTGAGAATTCAGAGAGGTCCGAGTCTGCCTACTGGCGTGACTTTCCATAGTTGTGCTCTGACAGAGAAGGTAAGGGGTGGGGTTGGTCCAAGGCTGGGATTTTGCCAGAAAGAGGAAGACCGATTGAAAGGCAGGAGCTCCATGGATTAAGGTCTCAAGGAGGTTTAAGAATGGTTAAGGTAGGCTGGGTGTGGTCTGGCCTGGCCAGATGGCAGAGCCACACCTGGCTCATGTTAACTTTTATATTAACAGGTTTTGATTATCACCTAACCAGATACAATATGTAAAAATCTTTTTTTTTTCTTTACAGGAGACTTAATGGAGCATTTAGTTGCCCATCCTGAATTCAAGATGCTGAGTGTTCGTAACATTCCTCACATGTCTGAGAACTCACTGGCATACAGCACATTTACCTGGGCTGGCCTCCTCAAGCACTTGAGACAGATGCTCATTTCTAATGCAAAGATGGAAGAAGGTAAAGATTATTCTGGCCGGGCACGGTGGCTCACGCCTGTAATCCCAGCACTTTGGGAGGCTGAGGCAGGCGGATCACGAGGTCAGGAGATCGAGACCAACCTGGCCAACATGGTGAAACCCTTTCTCAATTAAAAAAAAAAATTTTTTAATTTAAAATTTAAAAAAGAATATTCCAAAAATATGCAGCCCACAAGCTGGGAAAAATGCCTGTCCTGGAGTCTCAATATAAACTGGCTCAGACCAGTTAAAATAATAGTCTCTTCTTTCTTTTTTTTTTTTTTTTAAGACGGAGTTTCACTCAT